TTAATCATTGTGATCAATTTGGTGATACTAAAGGATATTGTTCCATGAGAGCAGGGCACAGCTGGTTACTTGGCATGAAGACGATGTGGGTTAAGAGGAAATCCTCGAGGAACGTGTCCGTTTCATCCTGATGGCTATCAATTCTTGTTTCCAATAAATGTTCTAACATCTTCTCAGGTGTGCCAGCCATCACTGAATACCTGTAGTATATTGATTCAGAGTATGAAAAGCATTAGAATTACTGTACAATTAAAAAACATGTTTAAAAGTATATGTCAACTTTGATTGAACATGTGGCGACTCATATAATAAACCAACCTGAATTGAAAACATGGGAAAACGTTTTGTTAACCTTTTTTTCATATTGTTCTGCACCAAGTTTTATCCTGTTGTATTTTTGTTGACAAAGAATATGGTACTGTATATCATGGTGTCAAATTGTTGGACAATCTAGACCCCTAGACCAGACCACAATTAATATTACCACTCTCAAAAATATATAAATATATTTATAGTTTTTATTTTGTACATTTATATTGAGGTACACAGGTACACACAGGTTTAGTTTGTACATACTCTATGTGCAAAAACAGCCTTATAGATACATACTTGTTTGATACAAGTATTGTATCCATTATAAAGTAAAGATTTTATTAATATTATTTTTATTCTTAATAAATATTGTACTGAACATGAATGTTGATTTGTATTATACAAATATAGTTCAAAATGTGTATACAGTAGTTATTAACAAGTATAATTCTCCTATTATACAGCATAGTGTATATTGCAGCTTAAACATTAGTATGCCATTAATACATGTTTCCCAACATTTAGCAAAAAGGCTATAGAACGCCAATCTTTAAAACTAACTAGTTGATTTATTATCTTTACAAATTGTAAAAATACAGATGGATGCATAGATGCTTTAAATGAATGCTAAATTGGCTTTACAATATATAAACACAGTTGTCATGCTCCCCAGTGTATGTGTCTGGGAAAATTATGCAATGTGAAATGAATCGGCAAAGACCTATATTCTGCAACACAAGCACATTAGTAAGCTTAACATGTTTGTGTAGACATTATGTAAATATACATACTTATAATGCGTTGGTTTCCCTTCAGCTGCCTTCAATCTATTTGTTGGAATTTTCTCAAGAACGAGTACATCTCTTCCATGTTCTTTAAGTCGTACTGTGTTTGCTTCAACATCACGCAATATACGGTTAAAATCATCTTTATCGACACGTAAAAACTGGCAGTTGTCCTCCCGCAGGATAATGGAGGCAGCACGTGGGGAGTCGTTGACCAGGGCTAGTTTTCCGAAGTCATCCCCTTCGTGGAGTGTGCAAACAACACCTTTGCCGTAGATCTCAACATTCACTGAACCGTGTAAGATTATGTACCAAGACTTTCCGTCATCACCTTGATTGAACACTGAAACATTGAGAAATACGATCAATTAAGTTAGTTTATTTCGTATTATTATTAAGCATCTATTCCTTTAATCTACAAATGCTTTGTTTTTCCTGGTAACTGAGTCCACATGCATAAGTGCTGCTGTTGGTAATCAGCGCAGTAGCAGGCAACCCTACCAGATACCAATTTATATTCCTGGGTGGAGAGAAGCAATGCAGATAAAGTGCCTTGCCCAAGGACACAAGCGAAATGCACAGCGAGGGATTGAAACCCCAACATCGAGGTTGGGAAACCAAACCATTCCCACTGCGCCAAACCGCTTCCACATTAATCAATTAGTCAATCCATTTACGTTCATATAATATACTCATAAAAACAAATGCTTTTTTAACAAAGACAATATTTACATACAAATACACAATTGTAAATGTTTATAAAACAATTTCTTCTGGTTTGCAATAAATCTTTTCTTAACCATAAACCAATACTAACTGTTTCATCTCAATCTCAGCGCAACTTCATTGGACATGCATAGAACGTGTGGATCATGTTGTCGTCTTCAATATTTGATCATATATAATATTATGATATTTGATGGCCGCCTACATCTCTACTAATATTCATGTTATCTTTACTAATACTGACTGATTCCTTGATGTTGAGTTTTAGCCATCCTTGTTTTTGTGTGGTATGTTTGTGTTTTTCCAGTCTGGCAAATATGGACAGTAATTTCCCAATGCATTCCTACCAGTTCCAACATTGTTATCTTCTACATCTTTCTGCTGTTCCTCGAATTTATTTTAAGTGCTCTACTTATTTCACCTATATATAGGCCTACTTGTTTACAGTCCTCCTACTTCTTATATGACTCCACACTTATCCTCTTTGTTTATCTTTTCTTTATTTCGGACTATTATATTTTAATTATATAAGTGGACTTGAAAAACTAAGCTACATTGTATTGCTTGAATTGCAAACGTTGGTGCACATCAACTCGGTTAAATATACAAACAACTACTATAGAAGATAGCTTGAGCCACACATTATAAAACTATGAAATGTTGGCAGTGAAAGCAACTGATCAGATGAAGTTGAGCTGAGAGCAAGACCAAACCAACACACACTGACACCTATTAGTTTATAAAAAGTTTATATTGAACTCATTATACACATAATCATATAATTACAAAAAAACATTATTACAAAAAACAAAAAGAACCAAAACAAAATAAATGCATAAATGTGCATTTTCGTATAATATAGCTTATAGTTTTCTTTTAAAAGTGATATCACATCACTTCAGAAATAATGCAAATTTTAACTGAAATGACATTTCTTTTTACTTGATTACGATAAATTATTGTTGGTAACATATTTTTTTGAAATGAAAAAATATAAATAAACTTCAATTTGTTTATGAATTACAATAAGAAGATTTGTATTCATCTCTGATTAATTATAACGAGTAGGTGCTCACAGTTGACAGTTGTAAGCCTAGTTATATTGGTAGGTTAGACTTGAAGTTAATGCGACTTCAGTAATCAGGGGCGGATTACTCTAATAGCTTAATTAATAGTAATTTGATTGCCTTTGAGGCACAGATGTGAGGTAATGGTAGAAAAAACTTATCATCTGAGCTCTATCTCTCTTTTGGATACCCCTATATGCTGAATGAGGGTAATCCAGCTACCAAAGCCCAATCTTGAATCCAACTACTTTTTCCAAAGTGGTTTTATCCTAATTATAATTATAATAATGATAATGAAGATGGTAAGGGCGGTGGCAATAATTGTTCACAATATAAAAGCAAGTATACTTTTTTTTACAAAAGAGTATTTATTCTACACCAACTTATAATACACAGAAATATGTACTGCACCTTTGGGCAAAAGATTTAAGACAATATATTTTCCATTCATTGCATTTCATTCACAACTAACGTTAACAGCAGCTTTTGCTTATTATGGGATGGAAGTCTTATTATGAAGTTTAGCGAGTGGAGCTGGATTTCTTTTAAGTTGTCAGAAAAAAATTTGTGTTTCAGAATTTGAAGCCAGGACCCTGGGATTTGAAGGCGAGTGCCTTAACCACAAGCTGCCACTCCACTTCATTTGTTGCTGTTATGAGTTTTCATGTGCATTTTCATAATGCACATGTTAATTCCTAAGTGATACCGGATACATTTCCCATTAACGCCAAATGGAAGTCAGGTTTGATCTTGAGTTACACCCATTAACACCAGCAGAAATCAGGGTTCAAATACCGTTCTCTATTCTAGTTGTGATTTTGATCATCACACCGCTCAAGTTGCTTATTATATTATTATATGTTACATCAAAATGTCACAGGGGCCATATTGTTTTTTAGAACTAGTTTACATATGGTATCGCACTCTCCATCTGATGCTATTCTAAAGACGATTACTTACGCACAGTTCCCGCTGTTGGATGCGATTCAAAGACAAGAACACTTGCCAGTTCCCGCTTCACCATCGTAGATAGATGTGCCAAGGCTTTGATGTGGAGCAATTCTTCGTAAATGATCTCCAGATCATCAGGACTCCTTTCTAGAGGACTGGAATAAACCATCATTTGTGATAGTGATTCAAAAGAAATACATTTTTCATAATCTTAATCTGTATATTGCATCAACTCTGGATATGATTTGGCTTCTGTGCTACTTGAAGTTTTCATTATTAAAATATTATTCAAACTGTCTCACCCAGCAGGGACCATGTGGCATTTGTATAACTAAATTATTAAGAATTAAAAAAGCCAATACAATTTAAATACTGTTTTAGTACATCTCTTCTTTCATGTACATCAGTTTTGCTTTCTCAATTCTGTCAAATTTAATCTTAAACAACTTACAAATGTACCAAAAATACAAAGCACAAACAAGCAAGGGAAAAAAATTACAAAAAACATCTGAAAAGCAGACAAGTAACAACAATATATTAGCAAATGTAATTCAAGAGAAGATAGCTTTTAAAATTTATTTAAACAATTTGATATTATGTTCATGTCCCTTTAAAAAAGTGAAGATGATGAATCAACTAAAACCACCCAAAGGCATTCAGATATGAGATAGGTTGACAGCTTAAGGAGAGGCTAAATGTTCTAGAAACGTTATATCTTTTACTAATGGCTTTATAAGCTTTAAATTCTTTAAAGAAATTACCATAGTCACCATGTCAAGTTCTTTTTGTTTCATATAGTTAAACTACGAAATTAGATTTAAAAAATGTACTGGGAATTTTCAAATGAATTGACAAGTAAAAGTAGTAAGGATTTCAAGGAAAACTAATGAGACTAGTAGTTTGAATGCAGAGGGTTGAATAAGGTAAGAAACCTGAAAGAGGTTAACAATTTTTAAACAGGTCAACAGTTTTTTAAATCAGTCAGTAGACTAAAGAACTGACCTCTAATATTGAAACACTTAATGAAATTATATCTAAATATATTTTTTTAAATTTTCATCTGGAATTATGAAGATTTTTCCTATTAATGATGAAAGTATGGATTTAAAAGCAACAGCATATCTAGAAGTCTTGAAATGGGGGTGCTGAATGGGGGGCACGAAGGTGAAGTGGGGCTCGATGATCAGTTGAGAGGCGCTAACTCGCAAAATAAAGTGATTTTACATGATTTTTAACTACTTGTGATTTTTTTTTGAGGGGCCGAATGGGGGGGCTCAAGTAATTTTTGGAGGGGCAAGCACCCCCACCCCCGCCCACCCCTAGATACGCCACTGTTTAAAAGGAAGTTAGAGATTTAAGTCCATTCCCAGGACAGTGCATGCTAAAATCAGTATCAAAAGCAGTGTACTAAAGCTAAAGATTAAAAATAGCAACTAACTATACATAGAGTAATGTGTTAGAATAATCAACATTCAAATAATTAAACAATTAATTGGTTAAATAGAAATCATAGAAATAGGATTTCGTATGAAATAGTGAGTAATCTAAAGAGCATTGGGGAATGAATAAACAGGGGAAGGCAAAGGTGGTGTACAGTATCCCATAGCATGGCGCTTTTATTCTGCAAAATAATTCAATTGGTTTTACTTTAATTTGTCTTAATTTCTCTTTCTACATTTAAACTCTTTAATTAATATCAAGGCAGGTGTGTGAGAGAGAGGGGAATGTCTAAATAAGGATAAAAAAAGGAAGGATGGAAAAATGCCAATGAGAAGGGAGACAGAGAAATACTTTATTACAATGGAAGGGGAATGCCTACATAGGATAATAATCATCATTCCTACCTAAAATTGTTAACTTTTTTTATTTCGTTAGGTTAATTCATTATATTCTTAAAGTATCTTAGTTAAGCCCAGACGGTTATCAACTCGCTTAAATCATTCTAATTCCTTTGTTGTTCCATTTGGACGAACTCTGTCCTTTAATTCATAATTTTATCCGTCCGTTATTTTACTCTGGTATTTTAATCAGCGGTAGACTCCAAAGCTATATTCACTTTTAAACAAAATTTAATTGAACTTTAATTAAAACCCTTTTGATGTATTGTTTGTCTTTGCCCCTTTGTTTTTTTATGTTTGTCTTTAGATTACGTTAAGAGGGAGGCTAATTATTAGCCACTAGTCATGAAGACAATGTGGATATCTGGCCTCCCAACGGCCATTCCGTGGCAAAACAACGTAACTTGAAAAGTTCACTTTTGGAGAAAAATAGAGTTAAAGTTTGCAACTTCGCAATAAATTGTCGTAGCCTTTTGAAATTTTGCAGGATTGTATATCTATAGACATTGTGATTATATTAAAAATTTTAATTACAAGCATTTGTTTATTGCAAAGTTATTAGCGATAATTACAGATACGTTGTTTTGCCACAGAAACATGTCAGGCTCTTTATTGTTGCAAGTGCGACATATTTTTGGAATTTATCACGTTAGGGGCAATCATATGCATTACCTAGCCTGTTCATACATCGCTGTTTAAGATTATTGATATAAAAACACCAAACAGTTTTTGCCTTTCCAAACTCTATCGGCTCAAGACCATTTTTGAATACCATTCTGTGGCAAAACAATGTATCTTCATCGTAGATACATTGTTTTGTCCCGTAATCTTGTAGTTACATTGTTTTGCCACGGAAAATCACTAGATTTTAAGTTTTGTATTTAAAGATAGGTGGTGCTATTCCCGAAACGACTCATTATTGAGACCTGAAAGGTAATTCAGACATGTTTAATATACTCCCAAATGATATTATGTCAAAATCGACAAAAATGTCAGTTAAGTAGTTTTGCCTCGGGAGGGCCGCCCAGGTTGTCTACTAAATTTCCATTAATAAATACAAATATAATAAATGATTTAGGGAAGAATGACTAATTAGAATGAGAAAGAGAGGAGGAAAGGGGAAGGCCTAATTAGGGAGGAATAAGAAAAGCCTAATGACTACAAACACCCCTGGATACACCATTAATCAATACACAAAAAAACTAAGTGAAGAAACTAAAAATGAGCTACTAGTTATGGTACAGTGAAGAAGGCAAGAAATTAGTCAATATAATAAATCTGGATTTTACCAGTTTTGTTAAAAATGATGCTACTGAAAAATGACAAATTATACTAACTACATCAGAAGAAGTCAAAGTAATATCAATTAAAGTATAGAAAACTAAACACTTGACTACTTTAAACATCAAAAGCTCAACAATATAAAATGTACATGACAATTCTGTAATACTACACGTCTTCCAACACAAATCATGCAGATTCCCTTAAACAATGACAGAGACTTGCTACCTTCACTGTTAAAAACGATTTATTTATATATTTAAGATATGGAATATCATATTATCCCTATAATCCTTCATATTATTGGCAAAAACATTTTGTGTAAAAATACAGGAGTGGTAATTGTATGTGCAGTGAAAGTTTTAAATACACACAATGTCGGAATGACCTGATGCTGGGACAGCATTCACAGCACGGTGGCAATGTTGCACAGCCTTCAAAGCCAATTATTGCATATCGGATGCAAGCACACTTCTATGGTCTTACCTAGTAAACATTATCTCTTATAACATTCTATAGACAATTTAACTAATGAACATCATCTCCTTCCCCTACCCAAAACAACTAAAACAGTTTTTAATAAAAATACAATTTCTTGATATGTTTGAAATTTACTTTGGAGCAATTCTTATCAGTGTTCAATGTATAGCTTGCATAACCTTAGTGACATGAAGTCTATTTTTTTTTAAAAATTGATTTATTGTTTTACATATATTTATGAAATTCAAGGATTTTATGGATTAGTAATCACTCATAATTTAAGTTTGTGATTTTATATTCATTTCATGCTGCTCTATAATATATGGATGAGTAACTTTGATTCAATTCTGTTTCTTTCATCTGTAAGAATCTTCACATATTAATTTGACATTTTATTACATAAATTAAAGCTACATGATCTGTTTGCGTGATGACGTGTGGGTGTATATACGTGAAATGAACACGTAGGTAACACGTAAACTAATTATATTAAATACTCCTCAGAGGCCAATATAATAAGTGTGAAGAGAAAACATTTGCTTAACAAACATACTTTAGAATAAACATGAGGTATAATAGCATTGTCTAATTTAAACATAATAGCATTAAGTCGCAATTAAGGATAGCAATATGAACCAAATACTCCTTATTGCATACAAGGCAATAAATAACATTTACGTTTACTTCTTAGAATCAGTTGGTTGATAATGATTTGTCTTAATGAAGTCATGTGACTAAGTTACTAATCTTTCATGTGACTTCTACTGCAATCATACAAGTTCCAGTACAAACGAAACATCAAATATAATTTAAAATGACCACTTATCTACACTTAATATAATTCTGCATCCAATACTTCCTTTCTGCAATCAATTAAAATCACTTATTTAATAAATGTTTGGATTTTGTAGAATATTCTTTTTTTGGACTATGTACAATTGGACTATGGACTATGTATAATTAATTGAAATATGATTAACTAAAAACTAGTGGTAACTATAGAACCTGGTTTGAAAAGGAAACAGCAAATAAAAATAGCAACAGCATGTGCAGAAAACAGATCTGGGTTATACATCAAAAACTGAAATCAATAGTGAAAATAAGAAGTAGCAACGAGCCATGCGATTGTTTGTACTTACTCTTCATGCTGCCAAACTCTAAGTGACGTACTGAAGTAGTGAACGGAATAAACAAATTCTTAGCAGTACATTTGAAAGACCTGCATGCGATCATGGATCATGCAGTGAATTGACCAATCACAGCCAAGGAATCTTAACCACATCATTCGAATATATCATGGTTTTAGATTCCAAGAAAATAAAATCACATTTTAACTTTTCTTATTTTTTTTTTTTTGCAAACAAGTTAAAATGATAGAAATAAGAAAATGCTGCCAATTAGAATTTAAGTATTTGTAATAATAAAGTATATAATATTTTTCAAGGAACATACATAAAACAGAAATATTTTACAACACTTTATAAAATAGAAAACTAATTTAAAACCATTAACACTTGATATTAATAACAAAAATCATTAGCAAACTGACAACACAGTCATCCTTCTGTCTACTGAATATGCAAATACCCTGAACTCTTTCTTACTGTGATTTCATCTGTCTATCGAATATGCAAACATTCCTGAACTCTTTCTTTCTGTGATTGGATCTGTTCATTGAATATGCAAATACCCTGAACTCTTTCTTTCTGTAAGTGGATCTGTCTATTGAATATGCAAATATCCCTGAATTCTTTCCTTCTGTGATTGGATCTGTCCATGTGCAAATACCCTGAACTCTTTCTTTCTGTGAGTGGATTTGTCTATTGAAGATGCAAATACCTTGAACTCATTATTTCTGTGATTGGATCTGATGGTACAACGTATATGCCCATTTCTATGCATAAGCGGTGACTGTTTACAGTAAATGAAATGCTGACGGTACAAAGTGTATAGTCTCATTTCTAAGCATGCGCACTGACTGTTTGTACATGAATTGATAATGAATGACCAGTACAGGTCTGGCCTGACTAGTGTAACTCTGTATGCTGACTTTTTGATTTTGATTTCATTTTTGTCATTATTCCAAATTTGGATTTATAAATTGCGGTTGGGATCCTTGGGACTCGCAGCAGCTATAATATGGCACCAGTGCCTTGATCAACTCTATTTAAAATCTAATGCTGGCAGGATTTGAACTGGGGTCTTTAGCATAAGAAACATCAACATTATGATTACCTCTCAGCCAAATGCTCTGACCAACTTACCTTACAATGAATTTCCACAACAGGACTGCTTTAAACTTAAAAAAATTCTTTCTTATTTCTATCGATTGTAATCAGGTTGGATGCTCCTTGTTACGCTGCAATTTGTAAGATCAAACCTGACATGTTTAGGTTGGTTCTAGTACATTGTAATCTTTGAACTGTTGCTTTCTTTTTGTGTGCGTGTGTCTTCTTTGCCCGGTTTTGTTCATGTCCTATTTCTTTTCTGTTTGTTTCTATTGTGTCTCCCTTTTGTCTTTTTGTTTCAGACTGACTTAATTGTCACAAGATGATTTTTCTTCTTTGTTCTGTGCCTTTTTCCTTTTCTCATGAATTTGTTATGATCTTATATTATATATTTGTACGAATTGAAAAGGAATTAATAAATGTTACTTTGATTGATTGACTGACTGATTGATTGATTGATTGATTGATTGATCTTTCTAATGAGTCTTGGAATAATTTCTAATGAGATTTAAACATAGATTGTTGTTTTGCCTTTAATATACTTGATTTGTACCTAGTAGCTTGGGACTGACAATGTAGAGTTACAGTATGAACTGTGCACATAATTACAGCATATCATCAGTGAAAAAACAATGAACAATAAAATTGAGAAACATGATGCTTTACAGTATTTTATTTTATGTTTTCTTTAATCCTCAACCAACAGAAACAGAAACCTCCACTAACAGGTTGAAGAAAAACATATACAAAGAAACAAAACAAAAAAATGAAAATTCAAGGTTGGTTGTAAATTTTCACTATACTGTGAGTACTAGGCGTTAAATGTGTTAATTGGCCATTATAGTCACTACATAATGTACTGTAACTTAAAGACAAACCGCCTGTAGGAAAATAAAAACCTTAAAAGACTGAATTCATCATGGAAATAGATCAAAGTATCAAGCTACAAAGATATATTCACTGCAATGAGACACAGATCAACTCACTAATTTACAAACATTTTAAATATAGATATTCTGATATTGATTACCAGCAAAGTTAAGGGTCTATGTTAAAGAGTACAGGCACAAAAAGTATGCATGCATCTGTTAATTGGAGTTTGTTTTTCTTTTTAATTCAAGCTCCCAACTTACATAATACTAGAAAATCAAAAATTCAAACGTCTAATTATATTTTAAAATATTATGATAATAGTAATAATAATAGTTAGATTTATATAGCGCAAATACACAAGGTCTCTGTATATACACGTCTATATGCATAATATCTTCAACATAACTGTTTATAAAAGGATGCTGATGATGATGGAAATGCTATTTTTTTCTCAACTTGCTGGCTTATTACTTACTTGGTAATTCTATACAAGTTACTTGTGAAAAAAATTTATAAGTGGTTGGGATGAAATCAAACCCACAACCTCCTGACATGTCTAGTCTTATACCACTAACACTGAGCCAGCACTGGTCGCTAACGATGAATTTGATTCCCGAATATCGGAGGTTACAACATAAGCTTGCCTCAATAAAATGCAACATGAATGCGGTTTTTCGATAGATAATGATAATTTCTATTTAGCGGTAGTATTATAATTAATGTCTTTTTACTTTTCATCAGAAATTTTACATAGTTCTTAATGTTAATTTAACCTTGTAAATATTTTAATAGAGGGATTCTACTAATCTTATATTATTATATGTATATAAAATTATAATTTTTTTTATGTGTTACAAATTACTCTTACGTGATCCTGTTACATCATGAATATTATTATTGCAACGATAAAATAATAATATATTTATGACTATCTTTGTTGGCTGTCACCTTGTAATTATGTTATACCTGAATGGACAGCATGATGAATATAGGTAGACTAGCCATGCTAGTCAAAAGCAAAACTAAATACAAAAAAAATACCCTTTTTTAGAGACTAACATGCATGCTCACATGCTACATAAGACCAACACCTAAATGTTCCCACCAAAGGACAAGGTAATTAAAGCAAACTGTTCCCTAGTTCCTTTTTTATGTATTTATTATATTTTTTATAATTTATATATATATAATGCAAAAATCAGAGTTTATGCATTATTGTTAGTTAGAAGCTATTTTGATCTGTTATGACATTGGTAAAGTCATTAATGTCAGATTCAGTAAGTGTATTAATAAATCTAAGTGTTACTTTTCACTTTAGCAAGTTATTAATAGCACAAGTACTGTTGATAATGTCATATGCTAATTAATCAACTATCATGATATTAATGTACATTATACAAAAAAACACACTTAAAACCTTATACACAATTCACTGATTACCTATCTTAAAATACCAAAACTAGTTAGCAGTAAATTCAAAACTTATAAAATGAAAACATCAATACACAATATTGTCACCCAATCTGGATAGAGATGTTGACATAATGCATTGTTTTATGTGGCACTACCAGGCTGTAACTGCAACGCTGGCATTGTAAATTACAGAAATTATCAATAATGCTCTTCATTTTTTGATATATATAGGTTACTAGCATAAGATTGTGCAATGAATATTTTAAGTAAAATAAAGTGCTACACCAGTGTAACTCAGCTTCAACTATTATTATATTTATCCAAATGTAATTCCTATTCATACTTCTATTTTAAATCAACACAATTTTTTAGACTAGTCAGCTCATGTAAAGTTAATTGTTATCAATCTTATAGGTACTGTACTAATGGTTCATCTATAATAAAAAATAATTACCATTTTACATAATTTATCCAAATAGGTTTTAAATGGTTAACAGTTGTTAAGTGGCTCACACCTTAATAAAAATTGTGCAAATAAATAATAACTGATAAAAATATAATATAAGTTATAAAAATAAATAATACAAAATACAAATAGCACCACAAAATGACATACCATTAATTAAATTTTGAAATGAAATGAAATGCATTATGTAATGTGATTTTCTAATTTTTCCTAAATTTTCTAATCTAACAGCAAGATAATTGCAAAAACTGGTTACTGGAAGATTATGAATCAAAGCTTTTTTTTTCTCAAGTCACTCGATACAAAAAAAATCACACACAATGTGAATCTCCTTTAATCCCTGCAGATCATTCCTATTGCACAGCTAAATCAGTTCTAACCAATTTTGGCCGAATCAAATCATTCACCTCATTTATGCTCTTGGGCAATGGTACAAAATTTCATTAAAAGGTATTTACTGTACAGTATAAACATCTATATTATTCATACTGTATTCTGAAGACAAATTCATGTGCATAATATTTTTAAAATATGTACTGTTTAAAGGTGGTTTCGGTAGGCAGAACAAGGTCAGGTCATGAAAGGATAAAACGTCTGTCAAGATTGTTATTGATTTGTTTGTAAGTGTAATGTAGTTAATGTACAAAAATCAGTCAATCGATTACAAGTGCACGAGAGATCATACGGATAGATGAATATAAGACTTAAGGATTTGAACAACCTCCTTGGTGGATTCATGAGATTCTGACATCATGCCATTATTAAATCACTTTACAATTAGTTCTGAAATACACTACCCATCACCTGATAAGCAAACGTTGCCAGAATCCAACAAATATTTGGCCCAATTGAATCCAACAAAAAATGCAATATTCGTTGGAATAATAGTTTTATTCTCAATATGAATAATTTCCTGCATAATTTGTTTACTGTACATTACTGTATATCTCCCTTTACTCTACATTTACAAAGACAAAATAAGGAAAGAGATTTTAAAAAACCTAATAACAAAACTTTGGTTAATCAAATATAAATAAAAGGAATAGTATGCAGAATAATCTTAATAAATAAATAATAATAAAGGCACTATTATGTCTAACAAATTTTAAAGGTTTTAGTTTTATTGAAGTTGAATATAAAACAAATAAAATTATAGACTAAAAAGAAAAGTTCCATAAACCTGATAAGAAATGCGCAAACTTACGGTGTTCTAAGAATCATTCTCATCATTGCATCTGGTCCCATCTGAACTAACATTACTAACACCTCCTGGATCGTTTCATCTGCTTCCCGTTTATCTTCATTTGTCGGAATTGTACTGTTACCTTCATCGTCTTCTCTGAAACGGTAAAACAGATCCCTATCACGGAATGGATGCTCCCAACAAACTGAAAAGAGAAATTATTTAAATGAAAAACAGGTTGCTTAGAAATAAAACCAAAATTGACTTGCTAATTGGCAAATTTTGTCAAGTAAAAAAATACTCTGTTAATGAACTTAGACAATAACATTCACCAGCATATGAATTCACATAGCATACGAATTACTTTATAAATTCAATTGAAAATTTGTTATGAAGTAGTATATAAACCTCATAAAACAGATGCATAATAAATTCCTATATTCCATTTTCAGTTCCCCAGAGGATATGAGTATAACAATACAGATATGAATTTTTCAATAACCAAAACTATTCGAGAATTTTAAAACAATTTGTTACTTTTCTACCGAAGTACTTCCTTAAAAAAATCAATTGAATTCAATTTTATAGCTCATCCTAAGTTGAACAGGGAATATATTTTAATACATACACTTGAAGAAATATAAATAAAACATAGAATGGGTAGTAGTATGCGGAATACAACTTTATCAGAGTATAAATTGAAAGAAAAGAGTTTTTGGATTTACATGTGCAGGTGCATGGTAGCTGACCTTTCAAGAAGTGCCCTCCTCTCCCCTGCCTCCCCCATAATATTTGAATGTCCTGAAATTGACATTTTGATTTAGAAATAAGATTTTACCACATTAAATCATCAGCCATTTTCTGAATACAATCTAATATTGTTTTTAGGTTAGGTGGGACTTTTTTTTATTAAAGATTATCGGAGGAGGACGGAATAAAAATGAAAGTAAAATTTTCTTTTCTTATTCATCCAGGCAGGGCAGAAAATAAAAATAAGATTTTATTGGTGAATGTACAATAATATGGTTAAATGCTTCAAATTTATATAATTAGAAAGAAATATACATATGTTATCTCTGGAGATTTCAAGGCAGTGGAGGGCGTAATAAAAATAAAGAAAAACTTTCATTTCTTTCTGAAATTTCCACTTTTTCGTGGCAGCGGGTGAGCTAATTGTCCAAAAATAAAATTTTATTTTTATTTGAAATTATCAATATTTGCAGTCAGCGGGTTCGTTAACAAGGTATAAAAAAAGTCTTGAATTAACTACTTTTATTCTTTATCAAAACACCTTCATTTTTCTCCATAAATTAATCTCTATCATTGTTAATAACCATGTAATATACCTTACTGTCATTTTTATTATCTTTGTTATTCATCATCATTTAATGCTATAATCTATCTCAATGTCATCTGTATTATTCTTTTTCTTCAACATCACCATCTTAAATTTTTAACTAAATGTCGTCTTCATTATTCCCCAATCATCCTCTGTACTCCATCATACTTATCCTCCTCAATGTGTATTTCTGCATTTTAGGCCAAAAAAAAAATGTTTGTTTGCCCTCCTCCAACTGCCCCTAACTCACTGGAAAAAATAAGGGCAGAAAAACAAAAAAAAATTTAAAAAAGAGTGAATTTTCCTTATTTTTTGCCAGCTTCCCTACAAATTAGTCTAAAGTTGTTGTCTGATGTAAAATACTGCCATTTTAGGCCTCTGTGGATTATTTTTATTCCATCTGATGAGTATTTAAAAAAATAAATAAAAAACTTTTTCCACCCGCCCCTATTTATAATTTTTTAAAAAAGAAGGGCAAACAAACAATTTATTTTATTTGGCTTTATATTCTTCTCCCATCTATCATTGTTTCATTACACATTTTACAGTATTCATTGACCAATCAATAATCGGTTGGGTACATCAGGATATTTACAGTTTAAACAGGCATACAATAAAATACAATACTATTTATAAAGCACCTGTAAGTAACATACATTGAAAACTTGAAAAGATCTAATTTAAATTTACTTCTTGTACTTAATTCTTCATTATAATTTTTATTTTTATTTAATTTTGTTTTGTATTAAAATTTAAGATTTTGTTATCTGGATCCCAAGGAAGAACAATGTCCTCACATCGATTGGGTATATCCAGAAAAAAAACATTTCTAACTAACATAATTTGCCACTGGTGCTTTGAGAACAATTATATAGTTGCATTAAAAAAAAAACTAAATCAGAAGTAACTGATGGAGAGTTATGAGAAAGAGTTTTCAAACAAGGACTTGAAATGTAATACCGCATATAACATCTTAGAAGTGCACAGAAGGAATATCGCTCGGATGTTGATAGTATCTTGCTGGATAGGTTAAGTATGTCGAGAAGGATCACACAAATCTGAGACATTACCTGTGCAGGGACGAGCAATTCATTTTTCATTTCACTTATATTTATTGAAATATCAAACATGACAGAATTGTATGACATTTGCGAAGTTTAAAATTCAAAAATTGCCTCAAAACTACATTCAAATACTGTATATTATATAACATCTATTAAATGACAACTTATTACATAAACCAAATTACTGAAAACATGATACACTATTGAAGATTACTCCAATACACAAGATAAAACACATCATCCTTCATAAAAAAACAATGAATGAATGTATAAATAATAATAAATCATATGGGCGAAGATAATTGCTAAAATAAAGTTAAAAAAAAAGTAAAAATATGGGATCATGTTTGACAATTTATTTAACATTATGAAAACAACAAAATAAAATGTGAAATCTGAATTCAAAAAGTTAAAATCTTAAACCATTTTGATGCCACCTAACTGTTGCAAGCTATGGTATTCCTTTCTCATCCATACATGATTTTATCACTAATCAGGAATGAAATGGTAGAGCTAATGAAATTACATATTACTTAGAGTGAAGGGGTGGTAATATGAATGGTAAAGTGTGAATGCTGACAATAGAATTAAGATGGTATGAAGACATCAATGAAGTTGAAATAAAATAAAACTGTTAAGTTTCATTACTTCATTGACAGGAAGCCATTTAAGTCTTGCAATATAGGATGATAAGATGCTTTATATTTTAGTCAGTGAAAACATTCAGTCATAGATGTTTTTTTAAAGACAAAAAAGCAATTGCAAAGATCACATGTAGGGCCTGATAGAACACATTCTATGAGAATAAAACACCTGGGAAAGAGGTAAAAAGTTTTACCTGAGAAAATATATGCAGAGATATATAGATATCCAGACAAGATCAGAGAGGGGAGGGAGATAGAACCCCCAAAGTTATTCTGATTATCAGGAATTTCAGACAAAGATCAATCTTTGAAGAAATTATAAAACCTTCTGCCTCACAATGATTTGCAGTAGGTACCATTTAAATAATTACTGCAAGACAGCATTCAATTGTTGTAATTGTAGATTTGATAGATGACGGCCATCATCAAGACCTGTGCAAACCTGAATAATGAAAAATGAATGCAAATCCTACCACTCAGTGAGAATGATATAAATCCCACTACTCACTCCATCATAATCATATGATCAAAGACAATGCAAGATCATTTGAAGGATGAATGTCTACCATACATTCACAAGTTCAGATCAACATTTAACTAAGGTACATCACAACCAATAGCAGGATAGGCAATTCAGGATGTTTACACTTTCAAGATCATTTGAGGGATGAATGTGTACAATACATTCACAAGTTCAGATCAACATTAACCTAAGGTACATCGCAACCAATAGCAGGATAGGCAATTCAGGATGTTTACACTTTCAAGATCATTTAAAGGATGAATGTATACCATACATTCAGAAGTTCAGATCAACATTTAACTATGGTACATCACAACCAATAGCAGGATAGGCAATTAGGGATGTTTACATTTTCAAGAACCACATGGATGAAACATACACTAACCACAAGTATAGCATGCGGAAATGTGGTACAAGTATCACCTTGATTTTATCTACTCCTATCTATCATGATTCATGTTCATTTCTTTTTACTTCATTAAGTTTAAACTTCATCTCCATCATAACTAACTCTTCTTTCAATTTATCAACATGTCATCTTAATTTTGATCAAACTCCATCTTTATTAAAATATGCACCATTATAAATATTAGCAGCAGTATGATATATTTATCCTACTGAAGTGCTGCATAAATCACAATTCTATTTGAAAATATGGTAATATTATCCTACTCTGTATTGCCTCTGGTAATACTGTAAACCTAACGAATATGTCAAGAAAAGGTTATAAAAACATAATACACATTAAAAACAAAATACAAAAATATGACACAAATTAAAGAAAATATGTACCATAATGACTCAAAAGTTAGACAAACATATTAAATTTTAATCAGGATTCAAACCAAAGAACATTTTATCACACAGACTATTCAATTCAATGTTTAATTACAGTACCTTCCTCCTTTACATAAAAAAGATTGTCCATTACCATTTGGATAACTGCACATGATCTTGCTATGCAAACACAACGAACTTATCAAGTGCTTTTACTAGCCACCCAGTGGGTTATCATACCATAATGGAGATGACTTTCAAACACTAATTGCTTGAAAACTCCTGACAATTCAAAGATGACCTAATAGACAAACTATCAAGTCAATACACAATTAAGCCTCACATAAGTAGAATGTCTACCTTAAACCAAGATGCAGCTACTTCACAACTCCACCGAAAATAAACGAAAAGGCAAAAAAACTATGCAGTCTTTCCTAGAGAGAGAAATTCTTACGGGCAAAGACCGGCTGTTTTAATGTCCAAATTCAAAATAATATATATATATTAATAAATGACCTACAATCCTAGTATACTAAGTAAAGCGTGCATGCATGCAACCGTTAAAAGCAGGCTTATTATTGGCATTAAGAGGAAAACATCCCCAAGGACCAGTCCAATGAGCCAATTAGAGAGGAGTAATTAAAGGCCATTTGGAAAGGCTATGCCGTTCATTTGCTATGATGATAATACCGACTATAAACAGCTTATATTTAAATGTAATCTCAATGAGACGCTAACTAGAGCCTTCAGGCAAACATGAGATGCATGTTCAGTATTGAACAATTGTGCTGACAAAGTCACTTTCAGAGTCTGCTTTCCTTCTACTATACCTGATGAAAATATGAACATCCTGGTGTTCTGATCCTTGATTGGCTATGATACACAGAACAACATTTACATCTAAAATTTAACATCAGCATTAAAACACTTCTTTTAAAACAGAAAAAAAGATATTAATAAAAATCATGCTTTATTTAATTCTATATTTCAATGTGGCAAAAAAGTCAACTTCATTCATAATTTATGGTTAGTTTTCATAGTTTGTTGTATTCCTAGATAAATTCAAATAAAACCAAATATAGCAGAGTTGGTCATTCACTAAAACTTCCAGGCAGACTGTACACTTTGTGAGGCAAGTCTCCTGGAAAGTTTAAGGAAGTGCTGTTAGTTTACATTGTGGTTTTAGTTTTACTATAAAATGTTTAGGGTTTTGATATAGCGTGGTTATATTTTTAACATAGTGCAGTTATGGTTTTGATATAACACCGTGGAATGTGACATTAAACTTAAGCTTAATGAAGACGTGCAACTTGATCACTAGCAACACGCTTAATATTCGCAAATAAAATGCATGTATGTGATCAAAATGGAAAGGAGGTTAATAGTGAATGGCAAGCATGTCTATAATAGGCTGGGATTAAGAGCAGGCGAACGTCAGTAGCGGTAACCGTGCATTGCGTGCAAGGAATACATGCTGTAGCGCTTCTAAATGCTTTGACATTTAATGAACAGTAAAGCGCTTTACCCAAGTGCTTTCAACACAATGTCATTTAACCTAAGTAGCATATCTCAAGTTCCTTGAATGAAATGCAAATATCACTTTGTTGTTGGTTTTGTAAACATCCAATTGTTTTTAAAAATAAATGTGAATCTGTTTGTGTGGGTTGCTACAGTTTAGTGCCTCGCCATTGACTTCCAATTCACATTCTTCTATCGGAAAACTACTCACTTATCAAAAAAAAAGAATATCACGTCCTATGTCCGAATATTTCAATCCAAAATTTATATAGCGCCAAAATCTAGTTCCCTATTCAAAAGTGCTTTAATTATCTTTACTCCAAAAATTCCACTATTGAAAGGCATAATCAAAAAGATGTGTTTTCAGTTTGGTTTTAAATTTATGCAATGTTTTAGCTGACTGAATGTTAAGAGGCAGATTGTTCCATAGGTTTGGTGCAGATGAAATGAAACTTTGGTCACCGTGAAAAGAATAAGTCCTTGGAATATTTAATAAAAGCTTGTTTGATGACCACCTATCCTAGTAATTTCAGATTCAAGATTTATTTCTTATCCTAAACAAGAGATTTCATGCAGAATCTGCTGTTGAATTGATTTAGTAATTAATTAATAATAAATATAATGGTGATTAATTAATAACAATAATAATGATATTATCAGATCTGAATCACATTTACTTGTTATCTAGGAAATTTAAAAATGACAGAGTGAGATGGTTATAGCAGCTGCTTTTATCTACAGTTTTTGTGTTTGCATTTATGTCAATGCAAATGCTTTCTTCGAATTTTCTACATGCATTTGTAAAAAATATCTAGCAATTTGTCATCGTCTTTGTCAGAAGAATAATCTAAAAATCACAACTCTCAAAAAGTTGTTAAAAAATGTAATATCAATTAAAAATATTTCTTTTTGTATTATGATCTAATATTTAAAACATCATGCATTGTAAAGATGATTTATTTACTCATTTATTTATATTTATTTCAACTAAATTTTAAGTGGGTAGCCCTTTTAGCATGGCTGATATGAAAGGACCACCTAGACAAATCAACGACAAAACAGTATAAAAGAAACGGAAAAACAGAGAAAAAAAATTGATATAAAACATGACTATATACATGGAGATAAAAGCAGTACATAAGGGCACATAGAAAAAGTATTAGATTATCACTCTTTTAAAAAAAAAATTGATGAAGGAGGGAGGTTTTTTTTTTTTTAATCGGAACAATAGATTATTTCACTTTTGTTTTTATCGATGAGGGAGGGACTGTTTATATTTGGTCTAAAATAGTAAATATTGTATAAAAACTGGTTTAATTTTATAGTTTAAAAAAAAAATGTATTTGAAGTCACAAAATTGCATTGTTATTTTTATGCTGTTGAAATAATTGATCCGGCAAAAAATTTTTTTTTTTATTCCCGCATCAATATTTCCCGATTTTTTGACCTGGGTGGGAGTGATAATCTAATCAATTTTTCTATTTGCCCTAAAGATTTTATTACTAATATACTATTTCACCCAGGTGTGTTCTTGTTTCACCACCAGAACCCTGATCGAGGCTACCGTTCCATCCAGTTCCATTACTTGACAAAAGGTTATGGCACCTTAACCTCAACAACTTAAAGAATAGTAAAACACGGCATGTACATAAATACATATAAAATTACATATAAACATACAAATATAAACAAATATAAAACTACAAACAATTATATAAATAAATAGTACATATAAAAGTACATACCATGAACAACAACTCCCTCTTCCAGCAGTGCCTGCCACATGCCAACAGCTTGAGTTCGGGAATGAACCAGACTCATCGGGCTTTGCTGCATCAACCAATCTACCATTTCGGAGCCAACTAGACATCGCCGGTATGTACGCAAGTGCAGCTTGCGATCACGAATCAACTGCGGAGATCTTGTGAGGATTGCCGTGCGTAGAATTGAGCCTGCTCTAGCAAGTTTGTCAGAGGGGGTCTACGTGTAGAAGAAAATAGATAATAAAATAAGTGAAGCTAAATTATGTTGTTTAATTAACATCACCGATATTCAGCAAACTTTTATCGAATGACTAGACTTTAGTCAATAATTTTACTTATGAATGTTCTTTTACTCTGTAATTCTAGTTATAGGTTAAATAGAATCTTGATTTATAAATGAATCATCTTCTATTATTATCTTTTTATTTTTATTTTGTAGTTATTATTGTTCTTTCTTTGTAGGGCATCAAAACTTAAAGCTTGCTTGTACTTGATGCCTTTTCAATCAATCTTTGAATTGAGAATTGTAAAAAAAAATATATGATAAAGGAAATTGATTTAATAAAAATTTATTTTGAATCTTGATTGTTAACATTCCATTAATACGTAACATTTTTATGTTGATTAGAGCCTGTATTTTCAAACCTACTTTGGAAATGTATACATCATGTATTTATTGGATACAAGAATCTATGTTATTAATATTATCGCTTGTTATTATTACTGTACATTCTGTAGCTGAAAATATACAAAAATATATAGCTAGAGCAATGGCCTCTGCAAAATGCTGCCTTCTGTTATAAAAAAAATAATACACTTTTGTGGAATTTAATATAGCAGTGTGTTACATAGCATCTTCTGTTATTATTAAAGACCATATAATAAACTATACTAAATAAAGAGACTATTGTACCAGTAATGGTTCTGCTGACAAGGTTCTGTCCAAGTGAACATAAAATGCATAAACAAGTAAAAAGCTTAGCTCTTAAAATACTGCAAGCAAACAAGAAACAAACTCAACGCTATAGCGAAATGCCAAAGTCACTTCCGATGCATCAAAGGTCTACCATTTTAAATCCTGATTAAACTGCATTGCTAAAATGTCGAACTTAGCTCCAAGTGAGAAATGAAATGTCAACAACGCTGACCTTGAGGCTTTTTTGTACTTTGATATTTATGATTTGAAGACATCGATTACATCAAAAAATATACCTTCTGTGTCACCCTACAGAAACTGAAAAAAAATATACTTGAAAAAACGTACAATTAATTATGGCCTCACATCTGTCATTCTTCGGAGTCACTATACTCATATTCTATTTGCGAATAATCAGTGGATTCTTTGGTTGAAGACCTTACTTTGTATAACAGGTGTGGATCAAGACCTTCGCACCATTCACCGTAGTGAAGTTCAGGATAAGGTATGCAAAATTTAAAAGTAAGCCTAAAGAAACTGCAAAGTGTCAACTTACTTATTTTAGTTAATTACTTTTAAATAGCATAATATTTGTTTTAAAACACCCAGATCGTCTGAGCTTTCACCCATGGAACTGCCACTGTCAACCTTGTCCCCATGGACTGCCCATCTGTGCAACAGTCAGGGTGAGCTCTGGATCTTAGTCTATAATAATGTCAAACAAAACAACTAAATAAAAAGAAGCAACATTAAGCAATCTATTACTATTGGCTTTCATTTGGAAATTAGAAAAAAAAACACTTTTTAGCTAATTAAGAAATGTAAACGGTTTGAAAGTCGGTCAAAACTGAATTGTCTTGATGTCTCTCGTTGAAAGTTGATAACTTATTTGACCTTTGACAGCAATCAGTGTTTATAATTGAATTTTTTTTCACCACATTTCACAACACGACAAATCTTAAAAAGAAATCAGAAAGCAATTACAAGAAAATGTTCACATTAACTCATGCGTATGTGTGTAACACATTAAAGAAGAGAATTAATGTACAGAACAATCTCACACTTCCTTTTACCTAACCATTTGGTGGAAATGCAGTACGCTTTGATTAATTATAATCAAACTTCACTTTAAAATGGACCTTCTGGAATATTGGATTGTCAAATTTTTTCTTGAAAGGGGGAAAAAGAAAATTGCATTCAAATTTCTAGTCTGAGACCAGCCATCTAGATGTGCCATAAACATAAAATGTTGTACTTCAGCCTTAGCCATGGTGGGACTATGGTGGTCTAAATTCCCATTTGTAAAACTAACTTATTGGAAGCTTCTATTTTGCATTCCTGGATCCGCTATTGAACATAACAATTTTTTTAGATAATGCTCTGCCAAAGAGGATTGCCTGAGTGTCAGAAGTTGTAATTATTTTTAAGCTATGTTACTGTTATTCAATGAAGAACTGCTAGTTGTCACGGAAACTGTAGACATAGAGAGCATTCAATTTTTAAGCTATGTTACTGTTATTCAATGAAGAACTGCTAGTTGTCACGGAAACTGTAGACATAGAGAGCATTCAATTGGTCATCAATCAACTGGCCTTAATTTTTAATAACGCACTTAGAGCAATGTCCATTAAATCACCCAGCTATCTAGATAACATAGCTATCATGACTCAATGCTACATTGAATAACAAGTCTATCCAGAACACTGCTATCACGACACAGAGAGACTTAAAGCAACACAACCATTGAATAACAAGGCGATTCCAGATAAATTAGTTTTACAACAGAAAGAGACTTCAAGGCACATAGCCTTTGAATCACGTGGCTATCCAGATAGCATTGCTATCATACAGTGACATAAAAAGACTTAAAGTATCACAGCCATTGAACACAGCCATCAGGGTGTGCAACCACCAAAACATAGAGCCATCAAGACACACAGTGATAAGATGATATAATTACTTATTTGTGGTTTTGAAATTATCGATGATGATAACAATAAGGCTTTTCCTCGTTGCCATAATGAGACTTGGTGTTACTTAAGATCTACAGTTGTATGTTGGCAGTATTTTTTTTTCTCATTTTATAATATGTTTTCAAAAATGGTACTACCAAAACTCCAATCCCAGTCTCTAAAATGCTGGTGAACCTGGCCCAAACTGACAAAAGCCATATTCTACTTCATCATCCTTTCATCCCTTGTTTGCAACACCATGGGGCAGTATAAAATAAGAATTAAAAAAGCAATTGGTGAATGTAAAGTTCCACAGAACCTAAAACAAGGAAATTAGGCAGGTTGTTTAAATACATATTTGTATTCTGTTGCAAAGACCAACTTACTTTTTCTTCCTAGGTTGAGTGAAAAGATTAATGTGTTTCAAGGCAAATTAACAATAAACCTAACTGTAACTAGTTTAAAATGCTTAAAATATCTTTATTATTAGTGCAAATAGTAATAAACAATATAATATATTTCTAAAAGTCCTTTGCTTGGACAAAAATCGATCATTCAAGCATTGAAAGAGGCCAATGTGCCAAAAAATGGAAACAGGACAGAACAAGAAAAAGAAAATAAAGTGAAAAAGTCAATAAATATGATTGCAAAGTGTTGCTAATACTGTTCTACATCACCTGTACAAGTGGAAGTGCTGGGTGTATGGGGTCAGCTCCTTCCTTCCCCTTTCTTGATGTGCTCTGAAAAAAAAACAAAAAATCAGTAATTATCGATTAGAAATCGATTAATATGCATGTCCATAAAAAACTTGGAAACTTTCTGTGTTTTTTCACATTTTTTCTTCTACATCTATTTAACATAAATAATTATTGTTTATCATCCATTCATCATCCCTGAAACAAGTTTTACTTGTATCTTTACCATATTGATTATAGTAACTTATACAATAATAGTAAAGAAATACAGGAGTACAGTGGTACTGATAGTTAATATGTAACTTGCTAGAGCTAGAAGAAGCTTGTGTTTAATAACATGATGTTGATCAAAAAGGCACTGTAACTGACTTTATTTATATCATTCGCGTTATTAGATAATTAATGAAAAGAGAATTTCAATTATTTGCTACTGCTGAATACAACGCAAGAACAGTTCTATGTGTAATTACACATACGAACTTCAAAGTATGCGTAGCCAAGTTAATGAGCTGATATGTTCAACTTTTGTAACTCTCCAATCAGTATTTTTTTATGACAGTTTATAAACTTCAAGGACAAAGATGAAAATCTAATCAATACTTTAAACAATACTTTCAAAATCCAATCACCTATTGTTTTGTCATTCTTCAGGGGCGATCCACAGATGTCTGAAAGGGGGGGGGAGAAAGGGGGCTGAAAGTGGGGTCGATCAAGACAACATTAGCCTAAGGGGTCTGTGGGCCTCTGGGCATACCCCACAAATTTTTGTTTTCTAGACGCCCAAGAATAACCTCTGAGGGGTTTTGGCCGATCAATCATTTCTTTTTCTTCCTTTTTTTTTCTCCTTTTTTTTTTTACTTTCCAAAAGGGAGGCTGGGACCAGCCCTATGATCTACTCTATTGCAAATGTGGACCGGAAACTATTTGTTCTACTGTGAACTGACAAAAGCGATTTGAGGTTTGAAGATGGGCATCTAGCAAGCCACAAGCTCCTGCCTTCAAATGTACTAACATACTACATTTATTACAAATATAAATCATACAATATAATATGTTACTTACATTACCAAATGTCATAAAGGCTGAATTGTATTGTACTACACATTACATTATGGTAAAATAAAGCAAATAATAAGGTCATTTGCCTTTTAATTAGTGCTTCAGCAACATTAGGTAAATTCCATTGAATCTGAGCTTAAATCAATTGACGTCTATCACCTCATTCATTTACAAATGACTCTAAACACATATCCTATATGAAACTTGCATACTTTGCACAGAATACTGTATAAACATTGAGGTATAAAAAGGGTCTGTGGGCCTCTGGGCATACCCCACAAATTTTTGTTTTCTAGATGCACGAGAATAACATCTGAGGGGTTTTGGCCGATCAATCATTTCTTTTTCTTCCTTTTTTTTTTTTGACTTTCCAAAAGGGAGGCTGGGACCAGCCCAGTTCCCCCTCTCCCAAATCAACCCCTGTTCTTTTATACAATAAATTGTTGAATCAATGCAATAGGCCTGAGTGAAAAAAAAACTGGAAGGAAAACAGGAAATTACAGTTCACTGTGAATGTGATGTGCTGACATTGTAGGCCTGGAGGGGCAGAAATAAAGCATTTTACAAAATGTACTGAAAAATGTTTTCCTTTAAAAAGTCAACTATTTGATCTGTTGTACATTAACCATGAACGAAGAGCTATGATCTACTCTACTGCAAATGTGGACCGAAAGCTATTTGTTCTACTGTGAACTGACAAAAGCGATTTGGGTGGATAACTTAAATTTACATGTGCATTGTCCCTGTTATAAAACCCACAAAGTAACTTGGGTGGATAACTTACATTTACATGTGCATTGTCCATGTTATAAAACCCACAAAGTAACTTGGGTGAATAACTTATATTCACATGTGCATTGTCCCTGTTACAAAACCTACAAAGTACACAAACTTGGCTTCAAGGCATATCTTTCCTTTATTAAACAAACCTATGGTATACTCTGCACATTCATAAAACTGTCATTCATAAGGCTTCCATTCACCATGCTTCAAAATGAGATAATGCACTAATAGTACTATATAAGTGAATCTAAAAAATGTAATTTTAATAGTAATTTCCTGCTAAATGCTGGATGCAATAAGTTTTTTAAATGACCAAAGAGGCTGTTTTGTGGTAAGTCAGACTAAGCTAATCAGTCTTTTGCATGTGTGAATTATGAAGATAACACTGAGACTTTCCAAACACTCTTTAGAAAATTAACTAATAATTCCAAAATTGTTAATGTAAAAAAATGGTTTTGAAAACTGAAAATTTAGTGAACCAAGAGCTATGATCTACTCTACTGCAAATGTGGACCGAAAACTATTTGTTCTACTGTGAACTGACAAAAGCGATTTGAGGTTTGAAGATGGGCATCTAGCAAGCCACAAGCTCCTGCCTTCAAATGTACTAACATACTACATTTATTACAAATATAAATCATACAATATAATATGTTACTTACATTACCAAATGTCATAAAGACTGAATTGTATTGTACTACACATTACATTATGGTAAAATAAAGCAAATAATAAGGTCATTTGCCTTTTAATTAGTGCTTCAGCAACATTAGGTAAATTCCATTGAATCTGAGCTTAAATCAATTGACGTCTATCACCTCATTCATTTACAAATGACTCTAAACACATATCCTATATGAAACTTGCATACTTTGCACAGAATACTGTATAAACATTGAGGTATAAAAATACAGGTATAATTTAAATTCACATGTGCATTGTCCCTGTTATAAAACCCACAAAGTACACATATAAATTGGCTTCAAGGCATATCTTTCCTTTATTAAAACAAACCTATGGTTTACTCTGCACATTCATAAAACTGTCATTCATAAGGCTTCCATTCACCATGCTTCAAAATGAGAAAATGCACTAATAGTACTATATAAGTGAATCTAAAAAATGTAATTTTAATAGTAATTTCCTGCTAAATGCTGGATGCTATAAGTTTTTTAAATGACCAAAGAAGTAAGTCAGACTATAGCTAATCAGTCTTTTGCATGTGTGAATTATGAAGATAACACCAAGACTTTCCAAACACACTTTAGAAAATTAACTAATAATTCCAAAATTGTTAATGGAAAAAAATGGTTTTGAAAACTGAAAATTTAAGGAAATGCGAAAGCTTTTGCAGTGTAAATTTAGATCAAACAGTTGACACAACATACGTTATATTTTTAATGTAAATTTTAAAAGATATAGGCCTACCTGATTCATTCTTGTGGCGTTTTGACCAGATAACCACTGGATAGTTGCATCTGCCAATTAAAGAAAAGACCAAGAATTTAAACAGAGAAGTAAATATTCATTGTTCAAAACAGTAGGCCATAAAAACCTTTATGTCTCAGTTAAAGTTCAACTTGATTCCTTTGAAGCTTAGCAGTGAATGATGCAAGTTACAACTAAACTGTGTTTCTGAAATCCTGGCATTGCAATTACTACAATGAAGAACCTTGCCACCTTACACAAATTCGGTTCAGTTCAGTTCATATAATTTTATCACAATGCAGGTTGCAAAAACAGGAAACATTTTAAACCAAATAAATAATAATAGTAAAAGAGAAGGTTAAATGTACAAAGGTAATTCAAAAATTCATTCTCTTTTATTCAAGGATGATAAATACTTTTTTTGCGGAGGTGTTTCTTAATACCAAGTATATTATCTTGACTTTTACTTCAGAAATCAATCTTCATTATTATTAGTTCTTTGATTTGCTTTGTATCTCATGTTAATCAGTGATGGAATCTCAAGTAGTAAGAACAAGCTGTAATAATGTGCAAAGGAATGTAAAGACAATGTAAAATGCTACTAAAGGTAGACAATACACATGCATTAAATGTAGGCAACATAACACTATTAAAGCAATCCAAATGGGCCAATGAGCATTCAACAGTAGTGCAAATAAGATCAAATAAAAAAAGAAACCACATGTGGTGAAGCAGGGGTCTCGCCAGATATACTTAAGCCACGCTTGGGCAAAAAAACGAAATGATCGCCAGGCTTAGCAAAATAAGCGAAGATTGCACCACGCTTAAGATGTTAGCGCCATGCTAAAAAACTATGTACTAATATATTTTATTCAAAACATTACAAAAATAAATACCAAAGTGAGAGAAAACAGCTTAGCTTAGTTGGCTAATCTAGTGGTAGCCACTGTGTGTGAGGTGAACCGTGGATATCTCTAGTTCCCTGGTTCAATTCTTATCGCTGCCTCTTCTTGTGTACTGTACCAGCTGAGGACTGAAATACAAGTTACAATAGCGCATCGTCTTTCGGATGAGACGTTTAAGCCGCTGGTCCCGTGTGCACGTTAAAGAATGCAGTACACTCTTCGGAAAAAGTAGGGGATTTCGTAATACTAATAATAATTACTAATAACCAAGATAGAAGGCTTTTTTTTCTGGAAAGTGTTCAAATCTTTATCCACATCAAAACTTAGTAAATGCATCTTTGCATAAATATAACAGACTCAATCTGGTAGGTATTAGTTTTGATGAATGGCTATTGTTTGCATTAATACAATTAAGGGTATCGAGCAAATGGAATTTAAATTGTGCACACAACAGGCTCATGTGCACTATAAAGAACCCAATACATCTTTCGAGACGAGTAGGGGGTTACCCCGGTGTAGTCCATCTTACATCCCCTGCCCTCATCCAGATTGGAACAGGCATTGATAAGTATCTGCATAGAATTAGAATTAGACACGGGTCATCTTGCCGCGTCGTGTCCAAACAAAAATGTATCCACCCTTTAAAATTTTTCGCGCCACCTTTTAAATTTTGTGGACGACATTTTCGGAAATTCCGCCACTCTTTAAAAAAAATTGTGGCGAGAGGACTGTGAAGACAAGCCAAACCAGTCACTCCTCGCAAATAATGTTTCAGAGAAAATGGCCAAAACATGCTGGGATCAAAACTATTATATTGTACTAAACTAACCTTTATATCTCTATACATCATGCATACTATGTTATTTTCCCAATTTTTAATGTTAAAACATCAATTTTAACAATTTGGTGATGGTTTCTGTCTGCAAAATGCCTGAAATTGTAAAAGCTGATTTCACAAATACTGTTCTTTAAACAGCTATTATGTTTAAACTCCTATACTTCATAACAAAATGATTCTTTTACCATTTTACAGCTCTAATTTTACTGTTTCACCCTGTATTAATAAACAAAAATTGATTTTTAGAAGATGTGACCCTTTTGGTTTGCCTTTATGCAAAGCCTTGTCACATATGCTAAGATCCTTTTGGCGTCTTCCGAAGTTTGAGGGTTGCCAGGTTCATGGTATCACCCTACAAATGCACCTCTGTGGTGCAGTAGTTATGAACGCATAGGCTGGGACACATTACCCAAGCTGTCAGACTTTGTACACTTCAAGTCTAAAAAAAATGTCATATCAAAATATGACTTTAAAATTAAGAATAAAAATAACAAGGAGCAACATGAACATTGTGAAAAAATGTTGTAGCACTTGATAGAATCACAATATAGTAATTCAGACAAGATGATACTCTCTATCGGACGACGTAATCTGCATGACCTGGAGTGTGCATCAATAAGCAATTGTAGTTATAACTGGTAGTATTAAGTACGAGTATTAATTGGTCTAGTTTGGTGGACTCATGATTAAATGAATGATTATTCCAAAATGTTTTTTGATGAATGAATGAATTTGGTGTTGTAAATCTTTAATATGTAATGAACTACTAAGTAAAACGTACGTATGTTCCAGAAAAAGCTGAGCTTATCCAAAGAGTCTTTTGATGTGCAAATGTGCCTTTCTGTTTACTGTGCATGTGAAAAATACCAAACTGAAAATTAAAGGTTATAAGCTGAGACTGGAAGAAGATGAAGCATGTACCGACAAGGACAGGCCTACAACACATTTTTAACACAAAAAAAAAAGCAGGAGGAAGCACCAGCAGTTAAACAGTAGTGCACCATGCAGACATCAAATTGAAATATATTATTATTTTATTTATTATACTATATTTTAAGAAGGTAACTCTTACAGCACAAAGCTGAATAGAAGAGGCCCTCAACTAAAAATGAATAATTACTGTATAGTAATAACATGATAGCTTATCACTAAAGAAACAGGAAAGAATTTAACAGCAGTTGAAACAATCAGTAGAATAGTGTAGCACAGTGCTGAAGATAAAATGCAGCAGCGTACCACGAATGTAAAGTGTTAATCCCCGCATATATCATAGATTAAACAACAGATTATACTGGACCATTTTACCGAAAAGCTCAGCAAGGTAAGTTCCACATCATGTGAAAATATAACAACCTACGTAACTACCATAGCAACAGAAAATGTATACTCACAATAAACTGATGCACGGTAACATAATGCATAAAAATACAGTGCTTACCTCCATCGGCCGAAAGATCGGATATAGATATCGGAAGCGGACACGGTGTAAGCAGACCTTCCATCAACTGTTTATTCCTCTGCAAAACATTAAAAGGAAGCGTTGTTGTGATAACAGTAGAATGGAGCTAAATGACTCTATTTTAAGAATTCTTGTAACAGTGAATTATACACATCAATTGGAAAACAATCAGAATGAGGAAGCCAACTCGTCTGCTCTCCACTTAACGCACATGAAAAAGTTTGACGATTTCTTGCAATGGCACATACAGTTTGCATAAATGCATGTAATGATATCGATTACAGAAAACTTGCGTCTACTTGCGTCAAAAAAAAATAAAAAAGCAATAAAAAGGGGAGCAGATTGTGAGCAGATGTTAAGGGCACATGAGGAAATTGCTTCATTCACAATTAATGACATCTAGAGGAAAAACAGATTATGAACTTGACAGATATACAGAAAAGAAAAGATTGATTTTAATCCCCAAAGCAAAGTTGGATAAAAATAAATGAACACTTCTGGAATGAATAATACTGTAAAAAACATGTATTTGTAAAAATTATATTAATTATAGTACTACTTTATGATTCTTATTTATGATACTTCTTCAGGTATACTAAGAAGCTGTGACTGTCATATCAATCCATGTCATGTTATGAGGTGGGCAATCGTGGCTATCCACACGTTGCCATCAGCAATTCATGCTTCCTTTCTGATATTCTCATCACTTGCTCAAACAGGTATGTTACCCATTTGCCTATTCCTGCTTCTCTTACCGTCAATATGCCAAAAAAACAGAAGTAACTTAACTAGAAATTAAGACTTTATTTAAGCAAAACTTACTCTATTAAGTAAATGTATATAATATAGGCCTATATAAACCTCTTTAGATCTGAATGATATTAATAAGTAAATAAACATTTATTGTTACATTATTTTTAGATGCTTTACAGATTGACTAATATATATATTTTGACAAATAATAAAATTATAAACAAAGATGACGAAAAACAAAAACAAATTTTAAGTATTGATCTTTAACAATGTATATATAAACACTCTTCATACAGAATGCCCCATACAAAAGCTAAAGTTCATAATTACTGATATACAATAAGAGATACACAAAATTGTTTTAAAATCTAGTAAATGAAATCTCATTGATGACAAACAGAATTGAATACTGTACTTTGGCGAGTCCAGAATTGTGGCAAAGACAAGCCAAACCAGTCACTTGTCGCAAAATTTAATTTTTAGTTATTAATACAGTGTTCAACAGTAAAATAAGTGCTATAAAATGGTAAAAGAATCATTTAAACTTGACATTTCCTTAAGAAGTTACAAGCGTTCAAACATACAGCTGTTCTGTAAGCAGAACAATATTTGAAAAATCAGCCTTCCAAGTTTATGATTTAGGGCATTTCTCAGGCAGAAACTATCACCATCATTATAAATTGTGGTTTTAACATTGAAAATGGGGAAAATAACAGCATCTGTATGGATACACAAAGGTAAGTTTAGTGCGATAAAATAGATTTTTTAAAAATTTGACACTTCAGCATGTTTTGGCCAATACTGTATCTCTGAAACAGGATTTTCGATGATTGACTGGTTTGGTTTGTCTATGCCACAAATGTTAGTTGACAAAACCAATGTTTAAACATAAAATATAAATCATGAACATTGATTTTTCACACTGGATTAAAAACAATAAAAATGGAACATCAAATCTGTTGCAAAATAAAGAGAGATTTGAGAAACTATGACTTGTAATGCTCCAAAATTATTTTCACATTATTATCAAGGTACAACACTTACTGGTATAAGAGAGGGGTTGTATATAATACAATTATATAAATTAATATTTCTGTACATGCTTCCCACTTTCAGGCGATCAATATCATCTCATTAACTCAGCGTAAAGTGTTAACCCAATAGTAATGATAGATGATACGCCTCGCATTGTAGGCAAAACATTCAAGAAACCACATTGGATGTGACTATTAAGAAACATACCATAGTTGATACTAAAAATGAAATATCAATATAAATCCTACCTCTGTTAAGAAGGACCACGACAGAAAAAGATATGAAATTACACAAGCAAATACAATGATGAGTTGCCAAGCAGACAATGCTCGATGTACAATAGCCGTGAGCACTTTACACAGCTAGAATTATCACACAAAATCAAATAAATCCATCAAATTCTAAACTGCTATGATTTAAATGGATTTAGTTAGCGCGCGGTGACAAACGGTTTATGACCGTTGTGATCTAACCGACAGGCTTCGGGACAAATTCAGAGGTTTGTAATCCATCCATATTTGATGTTCACGATGGGTAAAGCAACTACCAATGATATGTACTGATTCTATTTCACATAGAAACTTCACATTAAAAATTTATCGTAACGAATTCTATTTCTGGCAAAGCAATATAAATAAAACTCTCAACTTAACAGAATGTTTTACATGTACGCAAGTGTATTTCATGAATAATTGATAAAATGAGACTCCATGGCCGCATACTTGATAAAGTCTCCTAAAATATGCTACATGAAATTAAAATAAGGCCATGTTTCAAGGCAATTTTTTTCACTTGTACTATTTTCTTTAAATATTCTGAATAAAGGATTAGAACTATATGTGCGAGCATAACAACTATGTATTGTATTATTTATCCACCTTATCTTAATCTAACATCAGAAAAAATGGGTGACATAAAGTTAACTGAGCATGTGCACGAATCAGAGAGCTAGTTCCTGATTTGTTGACGGAGAGATTACTAACAAAGTGGGCATTGCACTTAAAGTGTAAGCGTTTAAATTATTTTATTATTGTTATAATATTTTTAATGAATTTGTATATAATGAAACATCCTTTTGCTTTACATACCAAACCTTTGGTTCTGTAATGATTCTGTAAGTAATTTTTTTTCCCTTTTTTTTTCAATTTACTGTTAATTTTTCCTTTGGCTGCACCATCATTTTGGATGTGTGCCACTGTAAATAAAAGTGATTCCAAATAAAAAGTAAAACTAAATGAAATACCATATTTATGTTACCTGATGAAGCTGGCATTGATTGCCAGCAAAAGCTCGTGTTGAATAAATAACATTTAAGTTAGTCTCAGAGTGCTCCCTTTTAATTTTCTTTGTATATTGTTTAGACTAACACGACTTCATTACCACTTTTATCATATTTATGTTGAAATTGACAAAAACTACTCATAGTTGTACCATGGAGGAATTAGTTGTAATCTCCTTTGTTTTTATGTGGGCACATCAGAGAAGTACACAATGCTTTACACAAAGTCATTATCATTTTGCACATTATTATTATTAAACTATATTGTTTAAAAAAAAATTAATTAGTCTTTGAATACAAAAGGCTGTCAAATTTGCCAATTTCATGTAAAAAACATAATTTGCTAAAGTATTTAAAAGTACAGTACTGCTTTTTTTTATTCTACCCTTTAACTTGCTGAAATTAATATTTGTTTCTTTTCCATTCTACCCCTTAACTTGATAAGTATTATCTGAATTACTGCTTCTTGTTCATTTTATCCTTTACAGTACCTTGTTGGAAGTATCAAATTGCTTCTTAAATTCTACTAATGGATCAAATGATGGCCTCTATTGTTACACAGAAGATTTCAACAACTTTTCTGGGTTAATTACTTCACCAGATAAGTCCCCATGAGGACAGTGTAAAGGTTTTGAGCTGCACAGTAACTTGCAGCTCCTAAGAGAATAGATGGACATTGAATTTCATCTTCAGAAATTGTTTTATTAAGTCAGATAGATGCCTTTATTTATATTATCTGAATGTCATTGAGGTGAATTAAAACAATTATAATATGGGTCATGACAAAATGTTTTATATGCTTTTGCAATTTTAAACACATTACAAAAATATTAAAAAGAATTGGTTTTCATAAATAATATTTATAACATGATAAAACTCATTTTTAAATAAATTATTTTCTTTTATTAATCAAATAACAAAGACTGGCAGTGATATAGCGGCACATTTACTAAGTTAGCATAATAGATGTACTGTTCTGCACACATCAATTACAATACTTTACTAGTTACCTGAATGAAAAATTCCCCAAAGTAAAAGAATACATATTAGATCAACCATATTTTAAAATTCTAAACCTATGTATTTAATTTCATCTCCACAACATTTTACTCTTAATTATTCAATTCTAAAATAGTTTTATACTTATGGAAACTCTAGTAGATATTATTGAAAGTATAATGGAAAATGCCTTTTTTGATACACCAATAGTCTGAATTTGTTTTGTCATTCTGGCACCTCAAACTTATTGGTAAAATAAATGTAATTCAAAATAATAATATATATTTTGAATTTTATTTATTTTACCAATATGTTTGCAGTGCCACAATGGCAAAAAAAAAATTAAGACTAACAATTATTAAAAGTGCATTTCAAAATAAAAAATGAATAAATGAAACCGCATGATACTAACTATTAGGTACATACCACCTCACACAATCAATATGGTTTATCAACCATACAGAATTTGGTATAATTATCAATTTGCTTAACCAACTTTCATATAATTGCTAATTTGTCGAGTTGCTTTATCCAGAGTTTTCACTCAATTGGGCATTCACTCTATTAATGTAAATTATTATCAGTTTTGTCTTTTTGTTCATCTAATATTCTAACTGCTATTTTAAATATTACATAATATCAATCTGCATTTTTAGATATTAGAAATACATATCTCCATATATGATGCAGCTCATGATGATGGTCCATGTGGAGAACACAAAGCCCTTACGATTGAAACAAGAGAATAGCATTTTAATTACGATGCATTGGTGGAATGGGGAAGACTTTGCAATCAATATCAACAAGACACGCTGATACAACAACCTACACGCTCAATTGATTTTTCGCCTTTGATCTGTACAGTTCTTCATAATACCAAATATTTAATAAACCAAGTTGTACACAAAAAATGTATGCAGTTGTATAATGCATAGCATGTAACTTAAAATAGTGCTTTTTGACATTTTCAAATATGTAAATTAATAAAAGCA